GTCACAAGTAATAATTAACTTGTCCAAATGATGATTTCCACTTCCCACGAACACGAGAGAGAGAGAGAGAGAGAGAGAGAGAGAGAGAGAGAGAGCGAGAGAGAGAGAGAGAGAGAGAGAGAGAGAAACCACTATACTATTTACTACTATCCTCCACCAAACACTAGTAACAAACAACCAGTAGTCGCCCCTCCCCTCCTCGTTAACAGCAGCGTGCAGTCACCTATTTGTATTCGAAGGGTTGAGCTCCGGCTCCTCACCTAGCTGCACTCACCTAGTTGTGTTCGCAGAGGTCGAGTAACAGCTCCTCCCCCCCCCCCACTACTTACAAAGACAGCGTTAAGTAACTCCCAGCTTCCAAGGTATGATCATACCTACTTTACACACCACCAAACAAAATTAACCCCCCCTTAAGGGAAACGTGTCACGACGTTCGACTACGGTGATCTTCAGTCTTAGTGTTGGTGAAGATCACCGTAGTCTTTATGACTACGTTGTGTAATTCTTCATCTTACTACAGTATTCTTCTCCGCTTCTCCATGAAGATGAAAGGACACAAGAAGATGGAAGATGAAAGTAAATACTACAAGAACAAAAACTTTTAAGACAACGGCAGAATTACCAACAAAATGTCAGGTAACTGGACCCCAATGTAACTAATGTGACATTTTACTGTAGCAACGTTTCGCTCTCCAGGAGCTTTGTCAAACTGTTGCCGTAACGGCTTGACAAAGATACTGTAGAGCGAAACGTTGCCACAATAAAATGACACAAGTTGCACCTGTGTCGTTCTACTTAATACATTGTGGGTAATTCTACCAACATTAACAGCACCTGTCATCTTAGGTGTTTATGGGACAAACATATCAACAATCCTATCATTGAAGATTGACACACTTATGTAACATATGGAAATCTTTATTAAGGAAACGTTTCGCCCCACAGTGGCTTCATCAGTCCAATACAAAGCAGAGAAGGGTAACGAGAGGAGGAGTTTGAGGTAATCAGTCCCTCAGCCTGGAATCGATGTGTTCAGTCCATCAGTCTTGTAGAAAGGTATCAAATCCTATCACTGTGTAAAGCAGTTCCACACAAGTGGTGAATGGTTTTCAAAACCGACAAGTTGAAGAACTGAGACACTTGTGCAACACATGGGAATCTTCATAAAGATTCCCATGTGTTGCATAAGTGTCTCAATTCTTCAATTCCACAACAACTTGCTTGGACAACCAGCAAGCATATGTCAGCGTGTTAGACTGGAGTGAAGGCAGATGCTTCTGTGATTTAATATGCTGTTGGAATGTTAGCAAGGTAATATTTATTAAGGGTTTCAGAGAAAACCGGTTAGCCGGACTTAGTTGTGAATGTGGGAAGTACAGTGCTTGCATTTTGTAGGAGGCGTGGAGATATTGCCGTGCAGAGGGTCATCTGAGCTGTGATGTTAGAAATGCCTAGGCCTACCTAGGCCTACAGTGGCCTTCTTTGTAATAAGTACTTTGTTTTATAATTATCTTATAAGATGTAAACCACACATTGTAATCTATACAGAGAAATAAACATTTGAATTTGAAAGACTGAGATTGAATGAACGATAATCCCAGTTTCTTTTTTTTCTGGGTCATCCTGTCTCACTGGAAGACGGACGGTGCTTCAAAATAAATGATGGGAACATCGAATCAACATCCAGGGTCCCAGACTCTTCAACATCTTACCAGAAGATATTAGAAACACTGCCTGGAGAACAGTTCAGTTTCAGAGTCCCAGACATAAGGTTACCTAACTGGTGCAGGCGTGTCCTAACTGGTGCAGGCGTGTCCAAACTGGTGCAGGCGTGTCCTAACTGGTGCAGGCGTGTCCTAATTGGTGCAGGCGTGTCCTAACTGGTGCAGGCGTGTCCTAACTGGTGCAGGCGTGTTACTCATCTTGTCAGAATGGTATGTCATTACTGTGACGATACTCAGCTTTCATGCATCAGAGGAATTACCAACAGACTCTCGGGTGTCTTCAAGAGTGAACTTGATTAGTTAAGTTTTGGTGTATTTGCTGGACAAAGTGCTGCTAGCACCAACAACCTCGTTGATGTTAGGTAAATGGACACAGATGCAACTACTGTGACATTTTATTGTGGCAACGTTTCGCTCTCCAGAAACTTTGTCAAGCCGTTACGGCTTGACAAATCTCCTGGAGAGCGAGACGTTGAATTGTTTGCAATCGTGTCATTACGATTTCGTGAGTCATGTTGCCGCAATAAAATGCCACATTAGTTATATCTGTGTCCAGTGACCTACCATTCCGTCGGTAAGTCTACCATTACTGACCTTGTGGATCAGGTCATCAAGCAAGTGTAGGAGCGGGTGGTGGGGCTACGACTCACGTAATTAACAAGAGACAAACGCAGCATCTTCCAACATTAAGTTGTGCCAAGTGTGAAGCTCAGTTCCCTCAGTAGGGAGGAAATACCAAGCAAGTCTCAGGTAGGAGAGGATGTGAGGTGGATGGGGTGGCAGGTAGGTGTGGGCTGTTTGGGTGGGCCCTAACACTACCCTTCCCTGCCCACACCCACTGCCCTTGTCTTGGTCCCTATCCCCACAGGAAACAATGGAGTGCCACACTGTTAAACCATGCAGACCAATAACCTGCCTAGCATAGGCCAATAGGCCTTCCTACTTATGTTCCTATACCTGTCATTAGTGTCGAGTCCTCCTGGTGTCACATTAGTGGGTGACATCTACTATTGTGTAACATACAATAGTGGGTGACATTCACTGGTGGGGTGACTTCTACCAACACAAGAAAGTAATGAGACAGATGGAGATACGAGAAACATGAACGACGGCAGAGGAAGTAGAGACCCACATGGGAAGGTAGAGAATGATTAGGCTATGTAAATTAGTGGGGGAGAGAGTACTGAGATGAGGGGGCTACAAAAGTGCCATAAGGGGGCCAAAAGAGTGCCCCAAGGAGATACAAGAGTGCCACGAGGGGGCCATAAGTGTTACAAGGGGCCACAAGAGTGCCACAAGAGGGCCCCATGGGGACACAAGTGCCACAAGGGATCACAAGAATGCCACAAGGAGTCACAAGTGCCACAAGGGGGCCACAAGGGGGCCACAAGGAGGCCACAAGATGCCACTGCAGCAGCATCTGCCGTCTTTGACAACAACAGCAAAAATTGTCTGCTGGGGAAGGTGAGGAAGGATGGCAGCGGAAACTCAGACAGGTAGGGGAGACATTCCGTGATGGGAAGGCGAGGGGCAGGGGAGAGGGAGAGGGAGAGGGAGAGGGAGAGGGAGAGGGAGAGGGAGAGGGAGAGGGAGAGGGAGAGGGAGGAGTGAGGGAGAGGGAGGGAAGAGGAAAGTCAATGTGGTGGGAGGGCAGTGTGATGTTTGTAAGGGTGCCACGTGTGTGTGTGGGGAGGGTGCCAGTTCCCGAGAATGTCTTAAATGTGAGGGCCAGGGATTCAGGACCTAGCAGGATGTACCTCTGACATACCTGTGAAGGAGTTCAACAGTTTTCCTACTACCGCAACCCGGCCCTGGGCCAGGCTCGTCTGGTGCTTGCCTAGTCAACAAGGTTGTTTCTGCTTGTGGCCCACTGGCCATACATATCCATCACAGTCTGGCTGATCTAGCACCTGGTGAAGATACTTGTCCAATTTCCTCTTGAAGACTTCTACACCTGTTCCAACATTGTTTCTGATTTCTTCTGGTAAAATGTTGAATAATCTGAGACCTCGGACGTTGATACAATGTTCTCTTATTGTGCCCACGGCGCCCCTGCTTTTCCCTACATTCTTTTTTTTCACATTTTCTACATCTCTCCAGTATGGTGTTATCACGTATCTCTCCTGCCCCAGTAAGAGAATATTTAGGACTTGAAGGCGTCCCCATTAACTTAAATGTTCTATCTGTTCCAGCTCTAATATCTTTTCTGGCCTGGATGGAGAAGTCAACACTGAACAGTACCGTGGGTGAGAGAGCACAAGGGATCTGAATAGTGTCGCCACTGGCACTAGTTTTAATGTTATGATTATCCCGGTATAACATTTACCATATTGCGTCTCTTATAGGTCAGCTGACATTATTACACTCAGGTCTTCCACATGTTCCTTTCGTTTCATTAAGGCGATTATCTTCCGCTTTGCCGTTTTATATATATACTTGGGATGAGAAGATACCACTTTTAACGATACTGATACAAATAGTACTCACCGATACTGGTATTCTGGAACACCTTTTATATTTACAGTGTTCACCGTGAGTTCTTCATTCCTTCCTTATCTAAGCAGTTGGAACCTGTCACCACTAAATCCACCATGATTAAAGTTGTGGCACTCACATCTTAGCAGCGCCACCATGATGTGGCACTAGTGAGCAGGGGGAAGGGGCAGAGAACATGACTAAAGGATGTGGCACCAGTGAGGGAGGAGAAAACGCAAACGAAGAGGAAACCAAGAGAAAGAAGCACAAGGAAGAAAAGTGTCATAACGAGAAAAGAGAAAGATGGGAGAAACATGAGAGAGAGAGAGAGTGAGAGAGAGAGGTAGAGGTTCAGAGGAAACAAACATCGCTTGGGATTCTCGCCGACGTAGTGGGTTATAAATACAGACACAACCGATGTTAAAATAACAGCCACGCCCACGCCTACCCTGCCCACCCACCCACACCCACGCCTGAGATCACTTCAGAGCAGTAGAACATGGTACAAAAGTGGAAGACATATGGTGTTACTGGTGTATATAACAGGTATGTCAACACAACACTGCTGTTATAATAACTAACACAGATTGAAGAGGTAGTTCCTTGAAGATTACCTGAAGACAGTTTCTGGGGGGATTAACGCCCCCTACTGACTGATGTGATCAACCAGGCTGTTAGTGGTAGGGACACCTAGTTCACAGCAACCTGACTTCCCTGCCGCTTGCTAGAGGAAGGGAAGGAGGGAGAGGGACTTACCTGGAGCTGACCTGATATACTTAATTAGAGGTTATGAGCACTCACCTGGGTGGCGTTGTGTGGTGACGGTAGTCATCACTGTGTGGTGGAGGTGACCATCACTTCCAGCACCACACACCTGAGGAAGATACATACAATGATTACCTCTCTCTCTCTCTCTCTCAACCTTGTGAAGTCATCACTAATCCAGTTACCTACCTACTTAACTTCCTGCCTTCCTTCATGTCTACCTTCCTACCTACCTTCCTATCTTCCTGCCTACCTACCAATCTCCCTACCTTCCTGCTTGCCTTTCTAACTACCTTCCTACCTATCTTTCTACTTACCTACCTTCCTATCTTTCTGCCTACCTTCCTACCTCCCTACCTACCTTCCCACCTTCTTACCTAGCTATCTTCCTACCTACCTACCTACCCACATACAGGCAAGAGAATAAATATGGTGTTGGTAGTGTGGTACAGTGTGGTACATCTCTCACTTATACCATCATAATCATACCTTTTATTTTAAGAACAGCACACACAAGTCAGGTATAAAAGAGTGTAAAGTATCCTGGGTGTACAACACCTGGCACAAACCTCACTCCAAACACCACAACACCACAACACCACAACACCAAAACACCACAACACCACAACACCACAACACCACAACAACACAACACACCAACAACACAACACCACAACAACACCACAACACCACACACCACAACACAACACCACCACACACAACACAACACCACACACACAACCCACAACAACACAACACCACCACAACAACCACAACACCACAACACCACAACACCACCAACACAACACAACCCACAACACACAACACCAACAACAACAACAACACCACCACAACAACACAACACCACAAACAACACCACAACAACACCACAACAACAACCACAACACAACAACCACAACACCACACAACACAACACCACAACAACCCACAAACCCACAACACCACACAAACACAACACAACAACAACACCACAACACAACACCACACCACAAAAACCCACAACAACACAAACACACCACAACACCACAACACACCACAAACAACACAACAACAACACAACAAACCACACACAACAACACACCACCAACAAACACCACAACACCACACAACACAAACAACCACACACCACAACACACAAACCACAACAACACCACAAACAACACCACAAACACAAAAACACCAACCACAACACCAACAACAACACACACAACAACCACCAACAACACCACAACACACCACAACAACACACCACAACAACACCACAACAACAACACCACACAACCAACACAACACACAACCACCACAACAACACCACAACAACAACAACACACACACAACACCCACACCAACACACACACCACAACAACACAACACCCACAACAACACCAAACAACACAAACACACCACAACAACACACACAACACAACACACACAACAACACACAACAACAACACACACAACCAAAAACACCAACAACCACAACAACACACAACAACCCAACAACACCACAAACACCACAACACACACAACAACACACAACACACAACAACACCACAACAACAACAACACCACAACACAAAACACAAACACCACAACAACAACACAACACCACAACACACAACAACAACAAAACACAACACACAACACCACAACAAACACCACAACACAAACACAACCACAACACAACAACACAACACAACACAACACCACAAACACACAACACCACCACAACAACACAACCACAACAACACCCAACAACACCACACACCACAAAACACAACCCAACACCACAACAAACACCACAACACAACACACACAACACCACAACCACCAACACCAAACACCAATACACACACAACAACACAACATTTACAACAACTTCAACTACTACTAATACTACTGTAATAATAATAACAGTTCAGCTGCTACTGCTGCTGCTACTGCTGCTGCTACTGCTGCTGCTGCTGCTGCTGCTGCTGCTACTGCTGCTGCTGCTACTGCTGCTGCTACTGCTGCTGCCACTGCTGCTGCCACTGCTGCTGCTGCTGCTGCTGCTGCTGCTGCTGCTGCTGCTGCCACTGCTGCTGCCACTGCTGCTGCCACTGCTGCTGCTGCTGCTGCTGCTACTGCTGCTACTGCTGCTGCTGCTACTACTGCTGCTACTACTGCTACTGCTGCTGCTGCTGCTACTGCTGCTGCTGCTGCTGCTGCTGCTGCTGCTGCTGCTGCCACTGCTGCTGCCACTGCTGCTGCCACTGCTGCTGCTGCTGCTGCTGCTGCTACTGCTGCTGCTGCTGCTGCTGCTGCTGCCACTGCTGCTGCCACTGCTGCTGCTACTGCCACTGCTGCTGCTGCTGTCACTGCTGCTGCTGCTGCTGCCACTGCTGCTGCTGCTGCCACTGCTGCTGCCACTGCTGCTGCCACTGCTGCTGCCACTGCTGCTGCTGCTGCCACTGCTGCTGCCACTGCTGCTGCTACTGCTGCTGCTGCTGCCACTGCTGCTGCTGCTGCCACTGCTGCTGCCACTGCTGCTGCTACTGCTGCTGCCACTGCTGCTGCTGCTGCTGCCACTGCTGCTGCCACTGCTGCTGCCACTGCTGCTGCTGCTGCTACTGCCACTGCTGCTGCTACTGCTGCTGCCACTGCTGCTGCCACTGCTGCTGCTGCTGCTACTGCCACTGCTGCTGCTACTGCTGCTGCCACTGCTGCTGCCACTGCTACTGCCACTGGTGCTACTGCTGCTACTGCCACTGCTGCTGCCACTGCTGCTGCTACTGCCACTGCTGCTGCCACTGCTGCTGCCACTGCTGCTGCTACTGCTGCTGCCACTGCTGCTGTCACTGCTGCTGTCACTGCTGCTGCCACTGCTGCTGCTACTGCCACTGCTGCTGCCACTGCTGCTGCCACTGCTGCTGCTACTGCTGCTGCCACTGCTGCTGTCACTGCTGCTGTCACTGCTACTGCTACTGCTGCTGTCACTGCTGCTGTCACTGCTGCTGTCACTGCTGCTGTCACTGCTGCTGTCACTGCTACTGCCACTGCTGCTGTCACTGCTGCTGTCACTGCTACTGCCACTGCTGCTGCCACTGCTGCTGCTACTGCTGCTGCCACTGCTGCTGTCACTGCTGCTGTCACTGCTGCTGCCACTGCTGCTGCTACTGCCACTGCTGCTGCCACTGCTGCTGCCACTGCTGCTGCTACTGCTGCTGCTACTGCCACTGCTGCTGCCACTGCTGCTGCCACTGCTGCTGCTACTGCCACTGCTGCTGCCACTGCTGCTGCCACTGCTGCTGCCACTGCTGCTGCTACTGCTGCTGTCACTGCTGCTGCCACTGCTGCTGCTACTGCTGCTGCCACTGCTGCTGCCACTGCTGCTGCTACTGCCACTGCTGCTGCCACTGCTGCTGCCACTGCTGCTGCCACTGCTGCTGCTACTGCCACTGCTGCTGTCACTGCTGCTGCCACTGCTGCTGCTACTGCTGCTGCCACTGCTGCTGTCACTGCTGCTGTCACTGCTACTGCTACTGCTGCTGCCACTGCTGCTGTCACTGCTGCTGCCACTGCTGCTGCCACTGCTGCTGTCACTGCTGCTGTCACTGCTACTGCTACTGCTGCTGCCACTGCTGCTGCTACTGCTGCTGCCACTGCTGCTGCCACTGCTACAAAACGTGATCTTGGTAAAGGTAACACAGAAGCACCTTACCAGCCGCCAGCCTCACCGACTTATCACACACACAACACACACAACACACACAACACACACAACACACACAACACACACAACACACACAACACACACAACACACACAACACACACAACACACACAACACACCTCAGAAACTTCAAACATTCACAGTACATAACATGTCAACACAACACTGCTGTTATAATAACTAACACAGATTAAAGAGGTAGTTCCTTGAAGATTACCTCAAGACAGTTTCTGGGGGGATTAACGCCCCCTACTGACTGATGTGATCAACCAGGCTGTTAGTGGTAGGGACACCTAGTTCACAGCAACCTGACTTCCCTGCCGCTTGCTAGAGGAAGGGAAGGAGGGAGAGGGACTTACCTGGAGCTGACCTGATATGTGTGTGTACACACACACCAGGGGCCAGGAGCTCGGACTCGACCCCTGCAACCTCAACTAGGTGAGCACACACACACACACACACACACACACACACACACACACACACACAAAACAAACAGGCTGTTTAACAAGCTCTTATGTTGTGTAGAGCTTAACTTATGACTTGGGAAATAAAATCTTTTGTAAACTGGAGTCTACCTGGAGGGTATTCCGGGGGTCAACGCCCCCGCGGACCGGTCCATGACCAAGCCTCGCAGTGCATCAGGGCCTGATCAACCAAACTGTTACTGTTGTGTATTTTCTTCACACAGACTAATGTTTGTGACGGGGCACGGGATAAGGGGGTCGAGTATCCGCTCCTCTCTCCCCATTTTATCCTAGTTTGAACTGCATTATCCACCTGCAGGACTTGAGTCCTGGAGGTAGGAGGTACAGTGCCCCCACCCTGAGGGACAGGTGTGGAGACATGTTGCAGTTTTGGAACTGTAGTATCTACACACCTCTCGAAAGACAGTGATGGAGTGAATGATGATGAAAGTGCTTCTTCATTTTAGGGTCAGCGTACCTTAGTGGGAAACAGCGTATGTGTTAATAAAAAAAATAACTTATTCCTAAAAGTGTGTAGAGAGAGAATGCAACAGTTTTAATGAAGGGGAATTACCCACAAGTCTAGACCTGTCTTCTAGAAAGAACTGGACAGGTTTCTAGAGAGTAACGCTAGTCAGCCGGGCTGTTGTTCCTAGGTTACAGTGCCTGTAACAAGCACCAACAGTCTGACCGACCTCAGACAGCTGAGGCCATGATTCAAGGTATGTATGGGAGAGAGAGGAGAGAGAGAGAGAGAGAGAGAGAGAGAGAGAGAGAGAGAGAGAGAGAGAGAGAGAGAGAGAGAGAGAAGAGAGAGAGAGAGAGAGAGAGAGAGAGAGGAGGAGAAAGAGAGAGAGAGAGAATGAGAATTAAGAAATGGAAGGAAAGAAGAAAGGAAGTAGGGGAG